TATATCTTCCACAGGTGAATCGGACCTCGCTTCGTCATCATTTTAGAAAAATTGATTCAAGTCAAGAACGATAACAGGGTATCCAATTTTGGTGCTTTCGTCGACATTTAGCTCGATTATAATGCTATGTGAAGATCTCGACACTGCATCTTCTACGTCGTAAGGAGATTCGTTCAAATTGATTGGAATATTTGAAGTCATTGCAAATCTTTATTGACGACGTGAGGTTTAATCAAACTATCCATATTTATAGACCTTTATAGGTGCTGCTTCACAAAATATGAAAAGTTGAATGTGAATTTTGATTTTACCTCGTTGTCGAAATTTTGAGGAGGGAAGATGTGGACGACAATGAGTTTTCCACCTTTAAAAGTTTTTTTTCCTTTTCTTTTGTAATTTGTTAAAGGTCATTAATTAATATTAATTTTCATTAAATAAGATTAAAATTGGGTGCATTATTTATTTAAAAAAAACATAAAATATGTGGCAAAAAATAAAAAAAAATTGTGAAAAAGAATAAAACGGCCGGATTTTGAAAATCCATTTTTCTAATAAAATTTTTATTAGAAAAACGGATTCCCATAATTCGTTTTTATTTTTGATTTATTTATTTTTTTTTAAAACAAAACGGTCGAATTTAATAATAATAATACATCTACTGTATAACACGGATTTTCAAAATCCGTTTTTATTTAAAAAAAAAACGATTAAAACGGATTTTGAAAATCCGTTTTTTGCTTTTAAAATATACCCCCATTTCATTTCTCCTCCCCCATTTCATTTCTCCTCTCGTTTTTTGCTCGATTTTTTGGCGAATTGAAGCTGCAATAAAAAAAAAATAAATAAAATTTCCCATTTCATTTCTCCTCTCGTTTTTTCCAATCGTTTTTTGCTTGATCTTTTGGCGAATTAAAGATGCATTAAAAAAAAAACAAATTTTCAACCAATCGTCGAAGAAGAGGTTAGTTGTTATTTTAATATAATGTAATATTATTTTTTGGTTGTTTATGAATGTTTGAGAGATATATTTGGTTACTTGAGTATTGTTTAGAAAATCATGAATGTTGGTTTAATGTATGTTGAATATTTATCCGAATTGTTTATAAATTTGATGTTATTGTTGGATCAGGGTGATTAGGGTTTTGGTGGTGTTTTTGATAAATTAATTGACAATTTTTTTTTTTGTTGGAGTAAAAATATGATTAATTATATGTTGTTGTTGGAAATGAGTTTTAAATGTAGATTAGTAAAATAATAATTGAAATTTTCTTGGGTGTTTGATTAGCCATTTTGTGTTGTTGTAATTTGTAAAATAGAAATTTTTTTTGTGCAACAGGTTATAAATGGCGTCGAACGGTCCATATTTTGTTAATGTGTACTGGAAAATTCCCCAGAGTGAGTTATGGAATTTTTCGAAATATATGTCTCGTTCGGATTGTTCATTTGTTATTAATGGAATAATATCATATGAACAATTAAAGTCAATTATAGTGTAATCGAACTCGAATTAGTACAATTGAAGTCAAATTAGGACAATTGAAGTCAATTATAGTGTAATCGAACTCGATTAGTACAATTGTAGTCAAATTAGTGCAATTGAAGTCAATTATAGTGTAATCGAACTTGAATTAGTACAGTAGAAGTCAAATTAGTGCAATTGAAGTCAATTATAGTGAAATTGAACTCGAATTAGTACAATAGAAGTCAAATTAGTGCAATTAAAGTCAATTATAGTGTAATCGAACTCGAATTAGTACAATTGAAGTCAAATTAGTACAATTGAAGTCAATTATAGTGTAATCGAACTCGAATTAGTACAATTGAAGTCAAATTAGTGCAATTGAAGTCAATTATAGTGTAATCGAACTCGAATTAGTACAATTGAAGTCAAATTAGTGCAATTGAAGTCAATTATAGTGTAATCGAACTCGAATTGGTACAATTGAAGTCAAATTAGTGCAATTGAAGTCAATTATAGTGTAATCGAACTCGAATTGGTACAATTGAAGTCAAATTAGTGCAATTGAAGTCAATTATAGTGTAATCGAACTCGAATTAGTACAATTGAAGTCAGATTAGTACAATTGAAGTCAAATTAGACGAGGGTCGGCTCCCCCATCTTGTAGTAAGCCTTTTATATCTCACTCTGTTTCCGGGAAGTAAGCTAGCTTGGGTTATTCTTTGTTGAATGACTCTCTTTCCCGCTAGCCGGAGATTTGAATGCTCTTTTTACCATTCCTCCTATCATGATGCCACTAGTTCAACAGACGATCCCGGAACACTCACGTCAAAGCCCAATAGCCGATTTGCTTAAGAGCATAGTAGCAAAAAGGAAGGTTGTAGTGTACACGAGACCGACATCTCTAGATGTACAAGGGGTGGATCTTCTGCTAGAACATTGCAGAACCCCACCAGCCTGATAGGGTGCTCCGCCAGTTTGGATGCCACCAGCCCATCCCCCAGACGTCGATCATTACTAGTCTTGCCGACTGGGACACCCGCCACAAAGGCCAGGGCATGACTGGGAGGGCATATACTGATTGGCGGGCCTTCCATGCAGATCTTGGGAGGATCTGGACCGAAGAGAGAGATCAGAACGTCCTCCCAGATGTCCCGGTGGATCCCTTCCTGCAGCCGGCAGAGGGGTACATTGATTGGTATCACAGTAGGACTGTGAGATTATTCAATGACCCTAACAACTACGCGGCGATCTCACAGGGCAACGGTTTTCAACCATATGCCGAACGAGAGAAGTATCAGGTAAGTGTCTGCTAATTTGTGATTTTTACTATTATTATTATTATTTTTTTAATATTTAATAGTTATTTGAATTTTATTTTCAGAATTCGGGTACGGAGGGGGCGTATAACATGCTATCGAACATTGAAGACATTGATACGCTACCTCCCCGAGCGCAGTCACAGTTCCAGCAAGCCCAGGAACTTATGTACGCTTCTCTGTTTGTTGGGGGTCAGTCGGTCCCACAAGAGGCGTCGTCGGAGAAAATTCTATCTCAAGAGGAGTACGCCCCACCCCAGCAGACACAGTCCCAGCAGGCGAGGCATAGACCGTCGCCCCACATTGGTGGAGGGAAAAGACGCCGTGACCGCGAACCCACCGTGAATGAAGAAGACGAAGAAGGTGAGATTTTTTTATTTAACTACAAATATATATTTTATTTTTGTTTGTTTTTATTTATTTGTCCGGTCGAATTACTGATTTTTTGTAAAAATTAATTAATTAGGTGGAGAAGAAGAAGAAGAACCAGCCACGCCTGAACCGACCGCAGGATCGTCTTCTTTGGTACCGGGGCCTCGGAGAGGGTCCCGAAAACGCGTGCCTAAGAAAACATTTACTCCTAGTTAGTTTGTTTTTGTATTCTGTGATTTTGTGGACATTTTCTTTTTTTTTTCTTTTATTTTTTGTACTGGATTTTCAGATATTTATTCTTGATGGTTTTGAGTACATATTTTGTGGTTCACTTTTTTTTTTATCGGTAATTGTGGTTGTCTTTTGTATATAGTATTTCATGTATGTATGTATGCTAGATTTTATCATTTGACGAATGAATTGATATTAAAGTGATATTATTTCATGTTCAAAATGTCAAATCAAAATTTATAAAAAACCTTCATATTGAAGGATAAGAATAAAAATTCAGCCAAAATAAACGTGATCGCTGGTAAACGAGTTCGTGAGCATTCCAGAGTCGAGCCTAACTTAAAAAAATTAAAAAAATAAATAAAAAAAATAAATACATAAAAACGGATTCTAAGAATCCGTTTTTATAACAAAAAAAAATATATAAACACAGATTATGAATACCCGTGTTATAGGGTAAAACGGATGTTCACCATCCGTCTTAATTAACACGGATTTTCATAATCCGTTATTAGCTGAATTAATTAAGGCTAATCACGTCATAAGGAAAAACGAATTTTGAGAATCCTTTTTTGTATCGGAATTAAAGAAAAACGGATTCTGAGAATCCGTTTTTCCTTGAAACACGGATCTCAAAATCCGGCCGTTTTATTTTTTTTCAGAACTTATTTTTTTTTTTTTTTACTGTAAGATTTTTTTTTTTTTAAAATAATGTATTAAAGCCCAGAAAAACAAATAAAAAAATATGATGGAGTAATACTATTTAGATTTTACATGAAGTTAATCTATTATACTGACATAATTAAACGGTTTTATGTAACAGTGCCTAAGTTAGATAAAATGTCAATCACTTTTAATATAAAGCATAAGCTGAACAATTATTTTGCCAGATTATTAGTATAATAAATAAAGACAGAATAAAGCTTTTCTTTTTTCCAGAAGTGTTTGAAACACCATAAACCGTCGGCGGTGCCAGCTGTAAGAAAAATAGCACATAACTCTCATGCCCGACTGTACTCCAGCCTATTTTTAGCCGTGCATCTCTCGATCATCGAATCCGACGGTCCATATTCTCACGGATCCCAACCCCTGCATTTAAATCGACCTCATAACTCCAACCCCTTTTCTTAGTTATTATTTACATTTATTAATTATTAATTTAATTTTAAATTCCCAATTTCTATACCATACCTTTCTTTCTCTCCCCCAAAGCTCGCAGCGAATCTAGAGAGAGAGAGAGAGAGAGAGAGTCGCGTCGGCTACCTTCTTCCCCATTTGCCCCAAATCTGAAATTCACGCGCGAAAATCCCTGTACTCTGGTCCCGAGAAACCACTGTCATTTCCAATTCAAGCGCCAGATCTAAGCGTCTGATTGCTCAGAAGGTGAGTTTAATCGTAAGCTCCATTTTTTCTTCTATTTTTTCCAAGAAAAAATGAAAGATTCTCAAATGGGCTGTTTTCTGCAACTGAGCTTTAAGATAAAAATCGGTTAGTTTATTGTTATTTTTAATTTCTGGTGTTGATTAAAGAAAGTTTCAATTTTGTTGTTTGATTTTATTTTTCTGGTGTGTGTTAGCGTTTGTTTGGGTATCTACTAGAGCCAGATCGAGCTCCCAGCCATGGCGCCGAGCACGATTCGAAAGGCGATCGGGGCCGTGAAGGACCAGACAAGCATCGGGATCGTGAAGGTCGCGAGCAACATGGCCCCCGAGCTGAAGGTTGCCGTGGTCAAGGCCACGAGCCACGACGACGACCCGGCCTCCGAGAAGTACGTCCGCCAGATCCTCCACTTCACCTCCTACTCCCGCGGCTACGTCTCCGCCTGCGTCTCCGCCATTTCCAAGCGGCTCGGCAAGACCCGCGACTGGATCGTAGCCCTCAAGTGCCTCATGCTCGTCCACCGCCTCCTCACCGACGGGGACCCCGCCTTCCGCCACGAGCTCATGTACGCCACCCGCCGTGGGGCCCGCCTCCTCAACCTCTCCGACTTCCGTGACGAGGCCCACTCAAGCTCCTGGGACCACTCTGCCTTCGTTCGCACCTACGCCCTCTACCTGGACCAGAAGCTCGAGCTCCTAGCCCACGAGCGGGCCCGAGCTGGGGATAGGCCCGAGCAAGAGGCCGAGAGATCCTACCGTTCTCCCCCTGGATCTAACCGTGGATACGTATACGGATACGAACATGATGAGTTTCGCGACGGGCCTGGCTATGGCATGCGAAGGTCGAGATCATCTGGGGATGTGATGGATTCGTCGGGCCAGGATAAGAAAGACCAGTCAGCCACTACTCCCCTGAGGGAACTACAGCCCGAGCGCATTCTCGGGAAGATGAGCCACCTGCAGAGGCTTCTCGACCGATTCCTCTCGTGTAGGCCCTCAGGTCTGGCCAAGAACGAGAGGATGGTTCTGGTGGCGCTCTACGCCCTCGTGAAGGAAAGCTTCAAGCTTTACGCGGATGTTTGTGAGATTCTTGCCGTGCTGTTGGATAAGTTTTTTGACATGGAGCATCAGGATTGTGTCAAGACATTCGACGCGTACGTCGTCTCGGCTAAGCAGATTGACGAGCTCGTTGCCTTCTACAACTGGTGCAAAGACATAGGCGTGGCTCGGTCCTCCGAGTATCCCGAGGTGCAGAAAATCACCACTAAATTATTAGAAACCTTGGAAGAGTTCGTGAGGGACAGAGCAAAGGCCTTGAAGAGCCCCGAGAGAAAAGCCAATCCCGAGCCATCCCCTAAGGTCGACGAAGAGCCCGTCCCCAATATGAACGAGATCAAGGCCCTGCCCGCCCCAGAACCTAACCAGGCCCCTGAACCCAAGCCTGAGCCCGTCAAGCCCGCAGTTCAGCAGACGGGGGATTTACTCGACCTGAGGCCCGACGAAGGAGTGACAGCCGACGACCAGGGGAACCAGCTGGCGCTAGCTCTCTTCGCGGGGCCCACTGCCACGAACACTGATTCGAACGGTTCGTCGGCAGACGTGACGTCCGCGTGGCAGAATCCGGCGGCGGAGGACGGAAAAGCTGACTGGGAGGTGGCCCTGGTGGAGTCGGCCAGCCACCTGTCGAGGCAGAAGGCAGCCATGGGTGGCGGGATCGATCCGCTGCTGCTGAACGGGATGTACGATCAGGGGATTGTGAGGCAGCACACGAGCTCGGCTCAACTAAGTGGGGGCAGTGCCAGCAGCGTGGCCTTGCCCGGACCCGGGAAAAAGCCCGTGCTGGCGCTGCCCGCGCCAGACGGGTCGGTGCAGGCGGTGGGTCAGGACCCGTTTGCGGCGTCTCTGAGTATACCCCCACCTTCGTACGTGCAGATGTCGGATATGGAGAAGAAGCAGCAGCTGCTGGTGCAGGAGCAAGTGGTGTGGCAGCAGTATGCGGTGGATGGGATGCGGGGCCAGGCTAGCCTTGCAAAGATTAACATGGGAGGGTTTTATGGGCCGGGCTTGCAGCCAGTGATGCCGTACGGGATGCCGCCGGTGAATGGAGGGGGTGTGCCGCCTGTTGGGTATTACTATGCTCCTTATTAATTCTATTCTTGGTTATCTCAATTTTTTTTTCTTTTTTTTTTTTGCCNGAGGGTAAAGTTTCTGTTGTATGCTAGATTAGCTTTGGTATTGATTTTGTTTGTTGTTGTAGTGTGTTTGATGTGATTGTATTTGGAACTTGTGCATGACTTGTTGGGAAGAGAGGGTTGAGGTGAATGGAGAAACTGAGCTTCATAGATTGTTAGTGATTGTGGAGGATTTTGATTCTGGTTGCTTGTAATCCCTTTGTTATTAGTTATTACTTGTTATTATGTGTCGTTTTCTTTTTATAGTATTGTTTTTTGGTTTCATGATGTATTATGCAAATATGTTTCTGTTTTCTTTGAGGACATTAAGATTTGGTTTCCTTGAATTACGTCAATCTGGTGGAGTTTTGAATGCGTCGATCACCTTAATTTGTGAGTGAGCTCGAATTTTTTTTACTATTTTATGCTCTGTTTTACTATTATATGTTCTGTTACTTGTGCTGACTATGCATAAAACTGGCTTTACTCTTACATATTGGATAGTGGACAAATCACATGTTGATTCAGTAAAGACTCTTGAGAGTGACTGCCTTTTGGAAGTAACTAACTACTAAGCTACACCAATGGAGTTAGAGTTAGCTTTTACAACTTGACCATAGTTGATCAGAAAACCGATTATCTGTCTACCGATTAACTCGATCCTAGATAAACTTGATCCTAGGTTCTTTGCCGTTGGATTGTACACACCCACTTGGAGTTTGATAATCTAACGGCAATAAATTATCGGCAAAAATTCAATGTGGCCACTAGAATCGAATTCCCCTCCTAAAATGAATTTTAGAAAGAGCACATAACATCATGGTCCTTTCTTGTTCTTGGTTGATTAGACCACCTGAAATAACATGGATTTTTGTGAAATCCGTGCTTGCTTGGGTCAATGCTAATCCTATATTTCTTTTTGTTTAATAAATCAAGCAATCCACATCCAAACACAGTACAGATTCTAATTTTCTTTTTTTACACCCAAAAGATGTACTTCATTGTTTGTTGTGGTTCAACTGTTTCTATTCCTATATTCTCTCTTTGCTTGAAGCTTAAAAAAGCAGAGCCAGGTAGGTAACAAACAACTTTCCCTGCCCTTACACACAAGATTCCAAATAATGTCCCCGCTATTTTCTGTTTTATATTATATTATATTTCATTGTTTTCAAGTGGGGGACGTGTGTACATGTTTAACACCAGTGATATTGAGACCTTGAAAGAGCTGTTTCAATCTAACTGCCAGTTGCTTCCAGCTTGTGTTTGTTTTTTTCCTTCCAGCTTGTAGTTATATTGTGCTTTGATCTAGAAAGTTACTAGGTATGGACAGCTTGTAGTTATATTGTGCTTTTGAAATTTGGTGGATCTTTTTTTTTCCTTCATTCTTTTTGTGGTAATTGTGGAAATATATTATCTAGCTATTGGTTTAAAGTTAGGCAGCATTGATTTATCGAACAGAGTAGTGGAATACAAGGCAAAAGAGTCCACCAACTTTACACCAAAATGCGGTTCACCTAATGCACCAAAGTTTATATTTGGCTAATTTAAAAATGAAATAATATGGGGCTACCCACCCCATTCTGGGGACTACTTCTCTTCGCCTTACTATGTATTCCGTTCGCCTGTCGGCAAGTTCAGCCCTCGTACTATGGTCGTCAACCATTATTATTACTAGTACAGTTGTCCGTACGAATGCACGGGAGCTAAGAAAAAAAAAAAAAATCATTAAAAGAACAATTGTAATTAACGATTAAACAAAATTGAACATTTTCTTATAGACAATGTCTTATGTCTTGGAGTTATTTTCATCATCATAAATTAATATTGCCAATCCTCTCTTCATCTTCTTCAATATCATTCTCTTTTTTAGCATATCTTTTTTGTCTTAGTTCTTAGCATTATTTATTTTTGATAAGCTCGATTCATCGAACAGTTTTCTCTTAGAATACTATTTCAGCGGTGACAGCTTTGTTGGGAATTGAATTCTTTTTTGGACAGATCACCTCATCATCAATTTTTTTCTCGTCATCCACATCAACTCCCTTCAAATGTAAAATAAATAAATAATTAACTTCATATACTTCAATCATATAAATTTATAAGGTTAGTTAATTATTAACTAAAATATAAGAAACTATAATTCCTAAATTATAAATTTATATGCATTGAAATTAAAAAAAATAAGTACATGTAAGTAGCAAAATCTTTATAGAAATTTTTTGTTTCATTTTCTCCACTAAGTTTGAACAATAAAAAACATATGACCATGATTAAATTTATATTAAATTAATATATATATATATATATATATATATTATACATATCTATACTTATATTAAAGGGGTACTATTTACCAAATTAAGTAGCCAGAAAAGTCAACACCATTTATTGCATTACTATTTCCGTATTATATTATATAAAAGGATATTTTATTTACTACAAATATTATCCAGAAAATTCAACTGCATTAAATGTCATTACTATTTTGGTATTATAATATTTTATTTATTTATTTGTTTTATTTTAAAAAGGTAAGTATAATAAAAAAATTTTAATAATAAAAAAATTAAATACCAAATAAAAATGTACACTTTGACTTATTTGATTATATTTGGTATTTGATTATACCAAATATATTCCTATTTAGTATATACATTAAATACTTACTAAAGTATTTATTTGTTTTATTTGTCAAAGTTAAGTATAGATTTGTTTATATTATCAAATCATAAAAAATATTAAATCCATATTGTAAAAAAAAAAATCATATAATTTTATAACAATTCTACTACACTATTTAACAATATTCTTTTTTTATTATATAATAAAATAATAATTAAATATTATATGGTGAACAACAATAAGTAAAAGTGTTACTTTCTCTTATATCAAGGGATAAATTTATATGCTAAAATTAAATTTTTATTAGTATAAATGTTTTAGTGAGATAATATATTAATTATTTTACAAGCTAGCCCTAACATGCTCATATTTAATGTTTTAAAAGATGTAGAAAAAAAAACTTATAATAACTCTATTGTTTTTTGGACTTAAACGTTGATTAAAAGAGGTAAAAATTCCTAATCTTTTAGACTTAAACGTTGATTAACACCATAGATTGAGAGTTTATATTTAGTAAAATTCCTAATTGTAATAAAAAAATTAATTTTTGCTATATTTTAGAATATCTTTAAATTCATTATAAAAAAAAGAAAAAAAAACTACAATGAAAAAAACAAGTCAACTATATATCGATTTGTTGTACTCCTCAAATCACATTCACAATTTGGCTACAAAGAAATGAAACTCATTGATTAAAATATTATTTTGTCAGTAGTCTTAATGTACAAGAGACTTTAAAACTCCACTTGAATATTATAAAATTTTTATTGAACATCGTACAATTTCTTGCGTATTATAAACTTTTATTGAATATTGCATCTTTTAATATAATATTCTCCAAATAAATATATCTCGCGGGTCACGTACTATATATATTTCATACATTTTTCTTTATTCATGTATATAATTATAAGTCTGGATAAATAGCCTTAAAATTGTGCACCCCGTGCATCGCACGGGCTCTGTACTAGTATAGATTAATAATTACAATTACTAATGAAAATTTGTGAAGTAAAAGTTTAAGTTGAATAAATGTCCACAACACAAATACAGTAAAACCTCGTTAAATTAATACTCGATAAATTAATAACCTCACTAAAATTAATAATTTGTCCAGTCCCAAGTTGGGACCAGTAAAAATTTTGGACACAATCAATAAAATTATAAGGTAATAATTTTTTTGAGATCCCAGTGTATATATATTGGTCACGACGAAACTATAAATTAATAATTATTAAAAATTATCCATATATATATATGATGCACTTGAATATTGTCAAGACAACTTAGTAAAATAAGAATCTACTGTAACTTGCTTTTTCTTGAACTCCAAATCTATGTTGATCTAATCTTTAAATCTCCTTACTGCACTAAATAGTTGTGGCGTTGTCTTCTCGTACTGCAACAAAAAGTTATGAAGAGTTGTTGATGCTTGCAATGCTTCTTTTAGAGTGACTGGTTGCCAAGCTATTGAATCATTCTCTGCTTCATCATCTTCCGGATTATGAATGACATCGGCCACTATCTCTTCTAGACTCTGAACTTCGTGAAATTGATTATTTTCACCCAAAAAGTTGAGCAACTAATTCACATTCATTTTGTGGTGATATTGCATACCGGTGATCAAATTCTCAAGCTCACGAATGTTTTCTCCATGAGTTTCATCATTTGCACTTGAGTCGCTTTGATTTTCCGAGCGAATTTTGCAGTGTCGAAAGCAATTCGCTATTGCTTCTTGATGAACATTTTCGGTCCAAGCTGACACTGCCATATTGATAGCATCTAAAACATTGATCTTTTCTGGAGATGATATGTCTAACTCATAGCCTTCCAAAATCTTACAATAAAATCTTTTGCGGTTATACATTTTGAAGGCTCTTATTATGCCGGCATCACATGGTTGAATTTTGAGGTCATGTTTGGGGGTAGGAAAAATAACTCGATGTTTTGTAAACCTTGGATATTGTTTGAATGAGCTGGACAGTTATCGACTACCAAAAGAATTTTTTTCTTCCATGCATTTGTTCATCCAACCAACGAACATATTCTTCGAAAAGTACTTCAATCATCCAAGCTCTCTTGTTGGCACGGTATTGACAATTCAAGCTATTCATATTGACATTCTTAAAACAACGGGGCTTTGCATACTTAACAATAATCCATAGAGGAATTTTTTCAGAGCCATCTTCATTGCAACAAATAACAATTGTCAACCTCTCCTTATCTTGTTTTCTACTTTCAAGTTGCTTTGTTGCAAGTGAATGATCAACCTGTAACCTATAAAACATACCAGTTTTATCCATATTAAAAACATCTTTCGTTGGAAATTGATCAATTTTTTTCCTAATGGACTCC